GTGTGTGTGAATGTATGTATATGTGTAGATATATAAGGCTGATGGGACATGAACACAACTTATTTTAATATTTTTATTGAATAAGAATACAGTGCAATAACAAGACCATTCATCGGCGTACTATGTGACCTGATGGGATATGAACAAAACCCCATTTTATATATTCTATTGCTGCAGGGAAATTGCCACCCCGAGTGTTTTGCTGAAGCGGTTGACGTCTGAGCAAGTCAAGGAAATGTTCGAGCAGTTCGATCTGAATAATGACGGCGAACTGTCAGAGGTGTGTAATATATATATATACATAGGTATATATGTTTTCGTGATGTATTTGGTCGTATATACATACAGCAAGTGTGCAGTATATATATATATACATAGGAATATATGTTTTCATGATGTATTTGGTCTTATATACATACAGTAGGTGTGCAGTCTATATATAGATAAATAGGGATATATGTTTTTGCGATGTTATGGCTATAAATAGATGCGTAATAGCTATTAATAGACACGTTCTTGCTGTAAATAGGTGCCTAATAGCTATAAGTAGACACTTGATGGCTCATTTTATTCGCCATGACAGGAAGAATTGGGACAAGCCTGCCGACAGCTGGGCTTACCATTCAGTGCCAAAGAAAGTGAACAAATCGGACACCAACTTATGCAGGCCGCAGATGAGAACGATGACAAATCACTGAGTTTGAGTGGTAGGTCTTTTTATATCTTCCAATGGGATCGTTTGTATCTCTTCGACGTAGTGCTAGATGAGAACGATGACATGTCACTTAGTCTGAGTGGTAGGTCTATTTATATCTTCTAATGGGATCGTTTATATTTCTTCTACATAGTGCTAGATGAGGACGATGACATATCACTAAATCTGAGTGGTAGGTCTATATATATCTTCCAATCGGATCGTGACTATTTTAATATGATGACATATCACTGAGTTGTAGTGATAGGTCTATTATATATATCTTCCGATAGGATCGTTTGCATCTCGTTTGGAATCGTTCAATCTACTCCACATAGTGTCCTATATACATAGTGATCACTTCCTATACAAATGTCTGTCGTGGCTCGATATGGCCTGCGTGTACGCGTAGATCATCTGCTGACACCGCCGCATCACTCATTCGTGGTAAACACAGCACGAATAATCACACAGGTACGCGTAGGCCTCCATCACTATAACTTTACCCTAAAGAGCATGAGACAGTATGCACATACGATATAGATGCTAGATATAATATTCATTGGTTTTCTACCTTGTCACTATAGCTATTCGTCCGCAAAGTTTGAGACGAATATGTCCAGGGAAGGAATACTAGATATAATATCCATTGGTTTTCTAAATTATCACTATCACTATACGTCCACAGAGTTT